ACCGCTCCCCCGTTTCTAGCAGAGGGCCCGCTAAATTGTCAATGGGGCAACAATTACAACCAAGTGAACCAAATGACATTTTCCCTTCCTGCCTGTCTAATATTTTTTTTCATATGTTTTTTAGTTTTGTGAGTGTTGTGCACACATTTTAGGCACGAGTTGAATGGAGGACACCTTTGCCATGATTTCAGTAGCAATATAGGCAAAAATATATGAATTAAATCAAGCTGTGTTGAAGCAGCATTGCATTACATACGTTTTAAAGATACATGTCAGGTAGTACAAGTGTCTATGAGAACTTATCACGGAACTGCTGCAGGCTGTAGTCTGTCTCAGGGTAATCTATCTTTTTGTGTAATGCCAAACTGTCTTTGTGATGCTGAGCTCAAAGCTCTTTGGGACCAGTCAGTCTATTCCAGGAAATCCCATTCTTCTTTTGGCTGAACACTGTCTGTAGCTGCATGCTTTAAGTTTAAAGCAGTGATGCAAATCTATCTTGTCATCTAAATCAAAAGATACTGTGTTTCTGCTTTTTTATTAAACGGTGAAATTGAAAATTCACAGATAACAGCAGTAATTATATTTTGACATTAAAAATATCATTTCAATTAAACAGATTGTGTGTACTGGTGGATTAGTTATTATTAATCGCTGGCTCTCTTCCACAGCGTGTCTTTGTTTGTCTTTGTCTGCCTCCCTTCACCTCAACACAGCATGTGGCCTGAGCCTGGTTCTGCTGGAGGTTTCTTCCTGTTAAAAGGGAGTTTTTCCTCCCCACTGTCACCATGATGCTTGCTTATAGGTGTCATATTATTGTTGGGATTTTCTCTGGTTTTTTTGTATTATTATGGGGTCTTTACCTTACAATATTAAGCACCTTGAGGCAATGGTTATTGTGATTTGGTATATAAATAACATTGAGTTTAAATGAATTAATTTCGATATTACAGAAATATAAGAAATGATTTTGATAACCAATACTGTTATTTACATTAGCCCAGTGGAGTCAGACAACTACCACTCTCCTGGCAACCTCCAAACCCAGACTCATCCATCAGATTTCCAGATGGAGAAATGTGATTCATCATCACTCTAGAGAACATCTCTCGGCTGCTCTAGAGCTCAGCGGTGGCGTGCTTTACGCTACTGCATCTGAAGCTTTGTATTGTGCTTAGTGATGTAAGGCTTGGATGCAGCTGCTTGGCCAAGGAAGTTCATTCCAAGAAGATCTCTACATACTGTTCTTGAGCTAAACTGAAGGCCACATGAAATCTGCAGTACACTATGCACCTCAGCATCAGCTCATCCCGCTCTGCGATTTTACTTGGCATACCACTTTGTGGCAGAATTGCTGTCGTTCCCAGTCCTTCCAAACAGGAATAATTAGTAGGGAGGAAATTTCATAACTATCATGGCACGACACTGGAATTCACTGAGCTCCTGAGAGTGACTCATTTTTTCACAAATATTTGTAGAAGCAGTCTGCGTGCCTAGGTGCTTGATTTTATAAACCTGGGGCCACTGAAGTGATTGGAATAACTGAATTCAATAATTTGAATGGCTGAGTGAATACTTTTGGCAGTTTAGTGTAGGCATGATACTTCATATCTTGAGCCTGAAGATGCACACGTACACCAACGAGTTCTATTCTCCTCCACCTTTGGCATATTACCTACATGATCTCTAGCCATATATATAAAATGTAATCAGGTGTAACAGTGGTGTTCAGCTTGGCCACTGTATTCAAGATAGTGGAGCAACATGGCACCTTCCACAAAGTGGCGCCCTATTTTTTAAATCAATTAATTCTAAGATTGTGAGAATCAGTTTGTTTGAAGATCTAATTACACACTAATCAGTCTATGTATATAAGTAAAATATTCTTTATTCAAATACTCAAAAAGACCGAAAAAACGACTGTGTTATTTAATTAGTCCCCTTAAAGTGTGTTGTTTTTTACCCTTATGTGGCAGCCTGCCTCACATCACATTGCTTTATATCTAAGTACCCATATCTGCTGATCAGTAGAATAAAGGGAAACCAGTTGCAGAATCTGTTTTGAATGTGCAGAGTACAAGCAAAACAGGAATGAGCCTATAAAAACACTACTACACTGTGCTACTAGTGGCCACAAACTTAACAGGATACCTTTAAAAGTTGTACAGTTTCTATGTCATTCACAAAAGTGTAAGTTTTTATGTTGAGAGACTTATAAAAATATCTGATCCCATGGAAAGAACCTCGGTGAATGCACATGGCCCCAACAAACTTAACACCTCATGTTACCAGTTATACTATATGTTAGGCCCCACTCTAAACACAGAGAAAATCCACAAATCAAGACTCAGTAGGGGCTAGAGTGGAATGTGTTATGTTAAGACCATTCACCTGGTTAGATTTTACCCGGGCTATGGCTACCAATTACATTCAGGACACACACATGCAGATATGTACTGTACCTACAACATGATTACAAACTGAGAGAAAAAAAAAACAAGGTAGGAAGAACAGACAAGTGTGTGGTCATGTTTATGGGTTTGGAAAAGACTGTGGCATTTCCTGAAAGTCCATGCCAAGTGTATGTTTGGTGTTCTGCCCGACCTTCAGGTTGTTTAACACATCTTTCTCACCGTGTTGCAAATATTGTTGAGGCTGTCTTTGATTGACTTTGCTGCCAGCCTGTGTGCAGGGGTTCACAAAAACAGGCGATTAAAAAAAGTAAACTGCAACAGGAAAATGTTTAAAGACTATTTGGGATCATTTCGTGTGATTAACAACTTATTTGACACGTTCTCTCTTTTCCTTTTCCAGTGTGCTAAATCCTTTTGGACTTCTATAAACATAAAGATTTATATACAAATACTGTTTGATCCTAGCCTGGAGGGGGGAAGAGTGTGTCTCTCACAGGAAAATACACCATAAATATACCCAAGCAATCAGGGAGCATTTACAGAAGATACTGGAAAACATTTTCTTACTACACTTCAAAACCTTATTGACCCCGATGCCCCTGCCCGGCTGAAGCCTTGTAGTGACGGAAAAACTGTGACCTCTATGTCACGGCTTACAGGAAGTGTGCTTTTTTTAACAGTTAGAAAAAAAACAAACAGTGCTAATTAAAAATGTTGTAGCTAATGTAAACCACATTATATTAACCAGATTCAGGGAAGTTTATTCAGACGTGGGTTGACTGCCCCGGGAACCTCATGACCCAAAGGCTGCCGAGAGTGTTGGAGCTAAAATTAGAGTGCCATTAAGTTGCAACACCGTTCCAAAAAAAACAACCATTTGCCGGTAAAGGTCTACACAAATAGATGTTATATTACTTCACAAAAGAGTTAATGAACTTTGGAGGAGTGTACTTGATGACATGCTGATCCTTGCAGATCCAGTCACGGGTCACGATGTTGATGCAGCATTAGTCTAGTGTGCCACTTCCTGCAATTAGTGGAACAAACCTAAAAAGCCACTCTAAGATTTTAACTTAACCACAGATGAGTCATGGTCTTTCTTGGGGGATCTAATATTAATACTGTTCCTCAGAAATATTGAGTAATGAAAGAAAAATCAAAACAAAAAAGTTAAATTGGATTGAAGCCACCCGATGTAAATCCTTAGAAGCAATGGATTCAAGGTGTATTCCTTATATTATACCATGCTGTTGTTAATCTACATGTGTGTACCAGTTAGTAAGTTAAACCAGTAAAATGAGGGATCTTTTTGACTTTGAATACATTGTTACAGGTTTATTTTATTTTTGGTTAGAAGGAAGGTTTTTGATTTGTTAAGCATTAAACAGAGACGTCTAACTAGTTCCTGCTTTTCTTCTATGTCTGTAGGATTTTAAGCCAGGCATGTTAAAGGGTATGACCTTGTGCCTATTTACAAGGGTGTCCCGTTACAACCTCCCTACTAGATCATTGCTGAGTAGCACACATACAAAGACCTCCCAGGCAGACACATCTCTAAGAAAAACAAATATTTTTAATAGCTACTACTCCAAATTGTGGCCTTACACATTCTTATATTATGGTCAGATAAACAACACAAACCCCAACAGGTAAAGTGTAGATTATGCTCAAGTACTCACTGGTGTTAGCATCTGACATTTGATTGCTGCTTTAGGCAGGGGATAGCAGAGCTGTCTGTGTCAATAATGCTGCAACAGGCATCACAAAAATCAAAAACACTGAGGCCTCTGACAGTACTCAGTGGGGCACTCTCTGCCATTCTGTTTGACATCTTACATACAGCTAAGATTTCCACCCGGAGGAGCCACTGCCTTCCTCACCCCAGAAATCATGTAAAAATGGATGTGTATGGTTTTATATGTGTAGTTGAGGTATGAAGGAAGTGGAACAAGAAAAAAATGTCTTAAATCATGTCTTTTAAGGTAGCACTTAGACTTCTTTGAGTGGTCATTTGAACTGCACAATTACTGTATTTAACATGCTGAAGTAAAGGAAGTGTTTTCATAACAAGATTTAGACTTTACTTTGGAATGAAAGATAAAATGAAATAAAGCTGCAAACATTTACACATTTTAGCACGCATCCACCAGCATATTTAGGAAATAAATACCCAAGACCATGGAAATATGATTTAGGCTATTACCTTCTTGTACTGATGTAGACAGGCTATTGGCTATGACAACACCCAACCGCAAATCCCACATATCAGAGATCTGGGGTGTGGTCAGACACAAACTAGGCATGATGTTTTTTAGGTGTTAAGTTGTACTTTCTTTCAGTAATTTGATAATTAGGCATTAATAAGAAAACTGTAGTGTAAAGAGCTACTTGACTAATCCCAAATCACCCACACCCTTCCTTCATATACCAACACGGACACAGTGAACCACAAATGCAGATGGTCTTTCTTTTTCAGCAGCTGTCTCTGTCAGCAGGAAGGATGACATGTTTGGTCTGCTCCCAGTGGAGCCAAAGCATCTGACCAGATGTGAGCAATAAGGAGAATCTCAGGTCATACTAATACAACGTTTTTTGTGAATTTATTATATATGCACAATAACTAACACCATATTATAAACATTTTTTTCATTTCTTCCATTTTCTCTTTTTTACAGTAAATAGTATTAGTGTACAAATGTATACAAAATTTATTCAGGCTAGTGAAGATCCACAAAAGAGTATTTCATGTACGGTATTAAAGCACAATCAGATATCGGAGGGACACATACATGCCTGCACACAGACAGGGGACCCTCAGGGTAAAACACAAGTCAACACATAACTTTGCTAGACAGCATAACCTGATCACACCAGTATATCACCATGAAGGCGAGGTGGAGAGAACATTACTTTTATTCTTAAAAAAGAAACAGGGAAAAGATGAACTTATGTATGATCTTTATGACTTACTAAAACCTAAGACAAAGTAAGGCAATGGAAAATTATCATTGGTAAAAGAGTGCTCTCAAAGTTCTCTCCAGCATGCCCTGATGCTGATCGTAGGCATAGACAGAGTTCAAACACAGAACAAGCTCATCCCATGACATTGCAGCATTTCGACACTGAGCCTTCAGCGTCTGCTTCACAGCACTTATAGAGCAACACAAAGAGGAAACAAGCATAAAGAGAACAGCAAGAAAACAAAGAAACAGTCATTTTGATATGCTGATCTCATTCACAAGTCATCTTGGCTCCTGAGTCTGGCGATCCAGAAAGGAAACAGAAACAGGATTAATAAAGAGAGGTGTTGGAACCCAAGCTCAAGCCTGGCTTAGCTTTGTTTTGGCAAAAGAGGGGAATGATATTCCTCTCTCATCATCAAAGTCAACGGTTGTTTCCATCACCTATCTGTAAGCCAAAAAAGCAGAAGAACTGCAGCAGATTTGGACTATTTCATAACAAATTACTGCAAGGGATACCCTCTCTGCTAAACTGCAGCAAGCGTTAGCATAGAAGCATACGTGGTAAGAATACAAATCTGATGTGTTGCTTCATTCAAATACCAGACAGCTTGATTTACTACATAGGCACTGGGAATTTGATGCATCAAACTGAAGACAACCAAAGCTGTCACTTGAAGTACAAATATATTTGAAAATTGCAATATCCTAATAGATTATCACATTGGATGCAACCTGACCTCACTTATCTCTTGGTGAAATATCTATAATATCTAGCTAATAATGTAGCTTGTTTACTGATGTACACCCACATCTGAGGAATATCTCGAATTAAGCTATTGTGCAGATTCTCTTTAGTAGGTTTGCGGTCATTGGTACTGTGTGGAGCTTTGGTGTCAAAAAGTCGGTGTTGTCTTTCGCTCTGTACTGAGCACATGCTGCTACAATACAACACCTAGCTAGACACAAAATGCTTATTGATTTTGAGTACAAAAATGAAATGTAGATAGGTTGGTAAAGTACATTTAAAAACAAATCAAAAGGGATACTCTTAATACTTGCTCTGGTTGCCAAAATAAACGATCCTTACAGCATACTTATTCATACACAATGAATATAATAAGCAACAAACAATACCGACAACCACACAAATCAATGCTGTCAGTGAACATACAGGCTTCGAATGAGATTTAGTTGGCATAGCGGGAAAACGTCTTTCAACCTCCTCAAAATAAATCAGACACACAAGAGAAAATGAGGCAGAATTAAAGGGTTTGGTTAGCTCTTACTCTTGCACCATAGGAGAATATTAAGGAGTATATCATGAAAATGAGTGCAGCTGAGCACAGTAAATGTGTCTCTCTTCTTGGAAAATAATGAGGAGGTAATGAATGAGCACCCTTTGGCATTGGCAAATGGAAATGCTGATATTGGTCTTGAGAAAATAAAAATGTCTTGTTGCAAATATTCTGCATACATCCTGTATGGTGCAACTCGAGTGTCTTCTGGCCTCCAGCGAAATGACTCGATGATCAGTGTATGAGTGTATGTAATCGCGTGTAGGGGTCATGAGTGTTGCAAAGATGTGCTGAGCCACAACAGCAGCAGCTGAAACCCGAACACTGGCCAAAGGCTCGGTCTTAGACAAGTCCCTCCTCCACAATCAGAATCGTCTTCCTGTTGGACAGATCAAGTGTAAGTAAATTAGAAGCAGTCTTCTCTGACATTCAAAAGCTCTATCTCAACTGCTACCACCACTATTGCTGCTACTAACAGTAATAAGCATTTTATGATTATACTATATCAAATTCAGTCATTCTATAGTCTACTGTCGGTGTTGTATCAAGTCTACTTTTCACACTGACAGGTTTTTAGAGAAGCATGTTTTCCCCCTTTCCCCTTGATACAACAACAACGTACATACCTGCCACATTATATCTGTTATAACTAGATGGAACCGGAGATAGTTAGCATAGCAGAAATACTCAAAACTGTGTGGCTTAATCCCAAGTTGACAAAAAACATCTACCCAGCACACTAAGCGCATACAGATTATTTATTTAGATATCATTAGTTTTACCCATACAGAACCTGAAGTGTAAAAACAACAGTTTATGGTGTTATCTCCTTGAGTGTTTCCTGGATAAGTGCAGCGAAAGGTTAGCTCTTTCTGTGGCTAAATAGCTATGCGGTCCAGTGTTATAATAATCAGCGAGAGCGGTATCAACATATACACTTATGTTTTATTTAACTGTCAGCAAAAAAGCAAGGAAACTGAAATATTAATTTAACAGCTCTGTTCAAATATTTAGAGGTGTTTTCAGACCTCAATCTTTGTGCAATGGCTTGCACCTGGTAGCTTCAGTGTGTAGCTGTTTTTTTTATTTAATGGGAGTATTCAGGATATCCGTGCATGCCAAAGGCCTAGGAGAAAGAGGTGGGGGTCTTCTATATTCAAAGGGCAGGAAAGCCATGTGAAGCTTCCTTTGTTTACTCCAGTGACAAAATGGACTGGCCTGGACACAAACCGTCTTCCTATGAGGAGCTTAGCCAAAAGTAATGGGACAGATGGGAGAGGAAAAGGACACGGCCTACATTTACTCCGTTCATCTACTTCCTACGTTATTCCTCCCCTCCCTTTCTGCTTCCCAGCATGGCCTCTTCATAATATAAACACCAAAAGGCACATGAATTGGTGGCCTGTTGTGTGTATGTTCTACTCCTTTATAGCACAATGAAAGGCAGAGTTCACAAAGATATGCCAGATATTTTTTTTCCAAATATTTAGATGTCTTATAAATTGTTCACAGTTGGGTGGTGACTCAACGAGTTCACATATAATTTATCTGCTTTTCTCTTTTGTTTTATGGATTTAGCTGATATGATACATAAAGGTCCACTAGTAACTTTGTACAATACCTTAAACATTATTTTTTAAAACAAAATTGTGCAAAATTATGTACAATATAAGATAGATGCAACATTCTGTGAGTAAGGGAATTATTCAACAAAGAAAAGATCTCACCTATTTATTAAACTGTGTTATACTTCTTACTTTTTTCTCATCAGCTATTTCCTTATTAAATTATTTTAGTGAGTATAATACCTCATGGAAATTAAAATCTTTACTGTTTATAAAACTTTTTAAATTGTAATAACCAACATATTACATATTACAACATAATGGAAAAATAAATCAGCTTTAAGGATTGAATGTCCATCATACTACCTGATTTACACTGCCCCTAAAAAGAACTTTGCAATCGCCAAGAAACATTGAATATCATAGAAGTTAATATGTTAGGAATGAGCCTTCTGAAGCAGTGAGACGGCACTGACCCTGAAGCCAGAACCAGAAACAACAGTAAAGGTGTAGGGCTCATTGCAGAACCTTTGCTGACTGGGCACAAAGGTTCATCCTGTCAGACAAGAGCAGCAGCCATTGGGAAGCAGAAAAATAAAAGAAGAATAAAAAAATGATGAGAGACAAGAAGACAGAAAGGAATATAAACAAATGAGTGAATTGTCAATGAATATTAAAAACTGATAAATAACATGGAAACTGGATAGATAAATGAAAGATGAAGGAAGCTCAAAGGGCAGGTAATTGACATTGCTTTAAATCTATGCAGAAAGCACATTGCTGATGAAAACCAGACAGAAACTGACAGAAGCCAACCGTTTAGTCTGGCTAATAGAGCTGTTTCCAGAAAATATTCTCTGCACAAGGGCACATATGTGACTGTGTCTTACATATTCATTGTTGTCAAAGCACACGTCCGGCCCTTTGCGATATCTGGCTTTATCAACCATGTCACATGGATCTGGACCTTCAGCTGAAAGGACACTCAGGAAAATTCAAATTGCTGTTGTGCACATTTTAACAATAAAAACTCAATAATGCATCTTTATGTACTCAGAAACACTTCATTTTTATAGCACCAAATGACACCACCAGTCATGTTGAGGTACTTTATATTGCAAACAGTGCATCATTATAGTTAGACAGACAACAATGATCCCTTATGACTAAGCACTGGAGCAACAGTGGAGAGAAAAAACACATTTTTAAGAGAAAGAACTGCTGAAGTATGGATGGCAACAATCTGCAAAGACCTAATTACGAATGACTAATCTTTACGAATTTTAATTTTTCACATCTAATAGAGATTAATAAACATCATTTAGTAATATTTGTTTTAAAAATAGCTTTTTATATGAAAACACTGGAGACTGTAAGAGAAATTTTGATTATTGATCTGACGAAAGGTAGCCTTGATCATTGATTAGAAGTATTGTTTATAAAATGTTTAATATTTTAATGTGCTGTGGCAGCAACATTTAGTGCTACTATTACCACATGGACAACTCTGCAGTGGCCCCCTGGTGACCTCTGGTGATGACACCTTTACTGTCCAATCAACAGAAACCTACATTAAAGACACATCTGTCAAACACGTATCCAGAACACATACACACCCCTTCTCTTAATCTTAATTTAACCTGATGGCAACCTGTAGCCCAGATGAAGATAAACATAGAAATTTAATCTAGAAGTAATGTGAGACCACCTTTCATATGCTGTGCATCTGGTTTACGGTTCACACATGAACACTGAGTGGGGACCCACTGCACACTTATTAGGTGTGTGTCCTCGTACTGACAGGTTAAAGTGCTGCTATATATGTGGTTTATGGAGGATTGAAGAGACAAAAGAAAGTACAGTTTTTAAGCCGAGTGAAAGGATACAGGGCTGTTCAGCCTGTCGCAGTGGTCTGGGATCACATGACAAACATGTTGCTTTGGCATCAGTGATTAAAAACACAAGGTTGGTGTTTGGCAGCTTCTCAGCACGGTACATCCTAGAAAAATAAAAATAAAGCACGTATAACGTGGTACCAACGCAGCACACATGTACATGCAGGTATGTGTTCAATTGTGCACAAACAGTGCACTTCATACCACCTCCTTCCTCACGGGATTGACTTTTTATGGTAGTCATTAAAGTATCTGTGTCTACAGTTGTTAACTTTGGGGAGTAAAGCATCAGACACGTGGGACTCATAACACCCAGTAATTACAGCCATATTTAACCCCTCAGACAGCCCAAAATGATACAAACGTAGGTTACAGCAAAGCAAATGTGCAGCGGCCTGTAAATGTGTGTATTAGTGAGTTTGACATACTGCCAGAGTGTAAAGGAAGAAAAACAGATAAAAAAAGGCTTTTTTTGCTTTCCTCTGCAATTCCGGGCTCTGACAGATCAAGGTAATCTGTGTGTGATCAGAACTCATCAGAAAGCAGCTGTCTGAAATCAGGCTGCAAAACAGAACGAAACCAGGAAACCAATTCTTTTCTGGATCAATCCCCACAGGCCATTAAACAGATGGACGCCCAGTAAGAACCTGAAAATCTTCAACAACAGCCATTTAAAGTCATCAGTGGACAGAGCCACTAAGATGGAAGCATATGGGGAGTCTTGTGAACTAACATACACATACCTGGAACAGTTTCCACAATCCAGGACACCTGAGTAGGATTTTTCGTCGTTGTCAAAGAAATATTGAGTCTGCTCTGTGATACAGCTTTCTTTAAACATGGCATCTGATATGTCGTCATCTGTCGACTCTGCTAGAAATAAGAGGGACGGTTTAGTAGAAAAGAGGATTAGTAAGAAATACATGGATTAAAACTGGAGTGACAGACCTCTGTCTCTTCAAACTAAGACTGATGCTTATGTTACTTGCCTGCCTGTAGAAGGCTGGGGAACATGAGACCCAAGAAGAGCTGCTGAAGTACTGACCTAGGAAAAAACAATAAAAAGTAAAAACAAAAACAAAATGAGTCACATGTAGGAGGCAACAAATCGCCTGAACAGCTTGTTTTTTAAAACTACGTTCAACCGATGGCTGTTTACTAAAAGCAACACATCTGTCTAAAGTTAGAGTAAATGGTGATGTAAATGTCATGGGAAGTATCAGGCATTCTATTTTAAAAGCTGGTTATATTGCAGTTGGACAGCTAAGCAGAAAATGATGCGGTATCATGTTGTGTAACTGCCCTTGTCTTACACTGACCCAGCCAACTTTATCCTTCAACAGCATGCAAGTCCACTCCCGTACAAACTCCCACCCTGAAATACAAGTGTGCTCCCACTCTAACATGCACACGCAAATCAATGAAACATAGAAGCACACGCACACAACCTCTACACTCACCAGGCAGCAGTGGATGCCCACCAGCCAATACTGAGAAAGTCTGCAATGGTAGGCTGTAGAAAGACAGGAAAAGAAATGCTAGTGAAAAAACAAGCACAAAAAAGCCTCCGAAAAAACGAGTAAGGCTTCATAAATCAAATTAACTAATAAATTCTGTTTTTTTACGTTAATATATTACTATTGCACAAATAGAAACCAAATAACATATACAGTAATGGTTTCAGTGAGGTTTCTAACCACATAGACGGAGCGGGGTCCAGCTGCTGCCTTGCTGTCTTTCTCTGGATCACAGACAGACTGATAGTCATAAGTCTTGTTCAAGGAGTACAGGGAGGTGTTGACCAGGTTGGTCATCAGCACTGGATCCACCTCACCAAAAAACTGACCTATCTAGACAGGTTCACATATACACACACACACACAAAACATAACAGAGAGTAAGAGCAGTGTAAAAGTAAGTCTTGTTTTGTTTTTGTTTTGTTTTTTGTAAACAAAGCACGGAGTTGGGTCCTACTTACCTTAAAGTAGCATTGGTTGGAGTATAAGTAAATTAACAGAAAAGGCAGTGGCGCTATTAGGTAAGTGTTTTGCTTGCAGGGTTGAGGTACCATTTTTATCCCCTTAGACGTATGGGTCATTAAAAAATCATTACATTGCTGTTCTAAGTGATCTATCTTTATCCAGTGAGGAAAACATTTCTATTCTAATATCACTGCATTCTTACAGAATGACAATGCCTTATTCATAGGGCACAAGGGTCAGTGAATGGTTTGATGAGTATGATAATGATGTAAATCATATGCTACAGTATGACCCTCACATAGCAGATATTAGCAGTTATTAAGTCAGCTGAAGACTTTTGAGAGGTTTTGCATCAAAATGTTAGTCCAACATAACTCTACCAGCTTAAATAAGTAATAATTAGAGTTAGGGTTGTAGAATATATTCCATCATATATATA